GCAATCCTGCTGAAAACAAAAACCTCATGCAAAATTAGAGAGCAGGATGGATTCAGTCGCTCAGCTGTTCCAGGGGAGGAAGCGGAACTCCGCAGGTGATGAACCTAAACTCACCCGGGACAGGTCCTCGGTGTATGTGGGCAGGCTTCCTCTCGCTTTCTGTTTTAAACTAAACTACTTATCTAGCCATATGCTTTATTTTCTACCCTCTGTAAATCACACCATCCTGGGAAAGAGTCGCTATTGTACGTTTTCTGAACGTATTTTCTAAAACTGTTGAACCAGAGTGAAAAACAAGCGTTCGCCTTGCCTGAAGGAAATCTGGATTTTCTCCCTTTGGAGTCCCCGTGCCAGCTATGGGAACTCCCAGCGCTGTCCCCTCAGCGAGATTCTTCAAGGGCAGGAAGGTCACATAGATTTAAAACTCACAAAGTGGCTCAATCAGCAGCCATTGACCCCAGACAGATAGGTTTAAAGGAACCCACGCTTCACAGGAAACGGCTCAATTCCTATGCAAAGAACTGGAAAACGCTTGCTTGGAAGGATGGATGTTTTTCAAGGGGATGCCAATAAAAAGACATTGGTTTGAAGAGTAAAGTAGTAAAAGTCTGCATTTACCAGCGTGGTCGCACGTCACAGGACAGGTGCAGAAGACCCGGATTTGATTCAGCACTGTATAAACTCTGCTGGCAATAGCTGTGTTCGGTGTCAGGGCTTTAGACAGTCCCCGTGTTTTTCTTTTTTTCTGTGTCTTCCTGGAGCTGATTTTCTCCTTTAGATGAAGCAAATAAGTCGGTGGGAAGCAGAAGCTTGAGGGTGGGTTTGTTTCTCTCTTCCGTGTGTAGCCATTGCCAGATGGCAGGTGACCTTTACCCACCCGCAACCACCCGGGCATTGCGTTTTTATCACGAATACTCCCCCCTTATCGACAGTTTCGCTCTCAGATATTTGCTTATCCGAGGAATAGGACAATAAGATATTTTGAGAAAGACACGACTTTCACATACCTTTTATTGCAGTGTATTTTTATAGTTTTCTGTTTTATCATTCATTACTATTAATCTCTTACTGTGCTAATGCATAAGTTAAACTTTATCGTAGGCATGCACATATAGGAAAAAACATATATGTGGTCCGGAACTACATGAGGTTTCAAGGTATGCATTTCTCTGCAGATAAGGGGGGACTACTTAGTCTAACAAAAAGTGTTCCTTGCTTTGCAAAATTGCTGTTAGTCAATTTAACTTGTGGGCCTGAACAAACATAAAATTGTCAGGGGAAAAAAATTCCAATAGGAAACCTCTGAGAATCTCCCAGGGATGAAATTCAAACTGGGGAGGTGTCTGGTTAGCACACCCTACAGAAGAATGTCTCCATGAGCCACTCCAGATGGTTTTCTCTGAAGACCCCCGATGACAACCTTTTCAGGGATCTCATGAAAGGGAGAGCAGTTTTAAACCCAGAGCAAGCGGTTTTAAACCCACCTGCCCACAATGCCAGCAACAGAGAACCAGCAAGGCAATCCCCGAACAAAACAGAGCGAGGTTGCTTTCTGCTTGGGGGTTTAGGGAGCCCAGAACACAAGGGCTTGATTAAACCTCGCTGAGCTTGCTAAGCAAATCAGAAACAGATCTCGTGTTCCAATGTCCTGTCTTACATTCTCAGCAGAAAATAAGCCCCATAAAAGTGATGAGCTTGCTCTGAGATTGAGACCTCAGAATCGGCATCGTCCACCTCGGTGAACTCCAACCCAGGGCTACCCACTGCATGGTCTTCATGGCAGCCTCTCTGGAGAGGAGAGGGCGCCAGTGAAGTGAATCCCTGCCTGTCATTCAGATCTGGAAACTGTTCTGGTTCCTGGGCCGCCTGACGCTGGCCGGAGTCCGCCTGGTTTATGTAACAAGGTCTGGGCGAGACCGACACCACCCTGTGTGTGTGAGTCACGCTCACAGCAACTTCTGCCTGCAGTGCAATTCCTAAAACCAAACAAAACCTAAAACCGCCAGGCTCGACTTTCTCTACGCACACCCCTACCTCCTGCCACCCCCATGGTCTTCTGGACCATCTCAAAGCTGAAGGAAGGAATCTGCTGAAAAGGGACACAGAACGACTTGGAATGGGGAAGCCCTTAGGTATGTCCAAATACTTGGAGCTGTCCGTGCCTCCCCACCCACATATCCACAAGAGATATTCCAGCACCACCCCTCCAGCTGAGGCTGGCCACCAGGGATCCCACAGGGAGATGGATAGCCTGGAGTTTTTTCTGATAACACCCAGGTCATGCCCACATATGGTGCAAAGGAGAGGCCAGGAGGGGACATAACACACAGGACTTTGGTTATCTGGGACAATGTCTGGGAGTAGCTGGGATGAGGGCACAGATCAGAGATTGTGACGTAGTTGTTTACAGGATGACTGGAATTGCTGGGATGTGCCAAGGTGTAACATGGTGAAAGTTATTTGCACAGTGTAAAGGGTGACTGGAATCCAAATTCCCGAGGTGTGTGCATCGCTGAGGTGCTTGGCTTGGGGGCCCTGGAAGGAACATGCCTTAGGAATCCAGGAGGCTGATGTCACCCCCTGTTCCCCCAGCCCTGTCTGGGCAGCCTGGGCAAGGTTACCGAGAAAGCCAGAGGGTGCAAAGAGGGGCTGGGTGATCCTCCAAAAAGACAAGCCACAGGGGACCTGGCAACAAAGACAAGCATCCAGAAAGGACATGGGGCCCCAGGAGTTTGAGAGAAATGGCTGTCTGGGTGTCCTGCAAATGTACCACTACCTGCCAGTGTCCAGTCTGCGCTCCGGGGCAGCTGCAGGTGCAGCCTGAGCTCAGAGTCCCCCTGCCCTCTGCATCTCTGGCTTTGTCCTTACTCGGGGGGCTCCTGTCTGGGGGATGTGCCCTCTCCTCCGGACAGACCCTCACTTCCTCTGCAAGGAGCCTCGGCGCCTTCACACGTGGCCATGGTAGGGTCTGTGGGACCCCATGCCCTCAAACAAAAACAAGCACAGACAGACCAGGGGAGGGCACTGGGTGCCTACGGCTGGCCTGGTTCCCCCCGGGGCCCTGCCTCCTTACAGGGCTTGGTGGCTGTGCATGAGGCTGTCCAAGGGGCCAAGGGCAAATTCTCTCTCTGCACCAGCCTTGTCCTGAACCTCCTAGAACCTCAGCTTCCTCATTTGGGAAATATGCATGTTTGTAATGCCGATGTCCTGGGGTGGGCAGAAGGAAGGATGGATTCTGGAGTGCCCGGAAATGCTCTAAGGCACTGGTATGTACAACCCTAAGCTATGAGAGGGATAGTCAAGGAAGGCAGCTAATGCGTTTAGAAAGGTGATTCCTTCAAAGTTCCCCGGCCATGCAAAGGAACGAGGCTTGGACACACGCTACGGTGTGGATGAACCTTGAACACATCACGCTCAGCGACAGACAGCAGACATACGAGACCAATTGCATGAAATGTCCAGGACAGGCAAATCCACAGAGGCAGAAAGCGGGCTAGTGGTTGCCAGGGGTTGGGGAGGGACTGCTAATGAGAACGGGATCTCCTTTTGGGGAGATGAGAATGTTCTGGAACTAGATAGAGGTGGTGGTTGCAGAATATTGTGAATGCACTGAATGCCCTTGAATTGTTCACAAAAACGGGTGAGTTGTAGAGGATGTGAATTAGATCTCGATAAAGCTGGGAAAAGAAAGTTATCAAAAGTTGAGACTCAAACTGATCAGGATCTCAAAGGTTTCCTGAGCTGGCTTTTCTCATTTTAGAGGCAGCAAATGGAAAAGAAAAAAGCAACATATGGGAAGGACGGCTTTAGCTGGCAGGAAAGGAGCTTGGTGTAACTTTTTTCCAACTTTGCTTTCAAATATTTTTATTGAGATAAAATTTACAAGACGTAAAATTTACCATTCTAATCATTTTAAAGTGAACAATTTAGTAATTTTTTTTCTTTATAGTTATTTTACAGTGTTGTGCAAACATCCCTCTACCTAATTCCAGAGCAATCTCATCACCTCCAGCAGCAACCCCCACCCGTCAAGCAGTCTGTTTGTCCATAGACGCCTTTTAGCGTTGTCGTTAAGGAAGCCAAAAGCTAGTTTCAGGTTCTGTCTAGACTTCCCTTTATTATTTTTAGTACATCAGAAACTCATGAGCACACAGATATTTTGAGCCTCTGAACACTGGGAGGAGGGCCTGGTTTGGAATGTTCTTGAATGTCTTTTGGGGAAGTTGAGGCACAGGAGTGAACCTCCCCTCAGCCCTGGCTTCTGACCCTAACCCCAGAGCGAGGGGCAGCATGTGGTTACATGTGCATTCAAGATTCCTTCTGTCTTCGCAAATAAAGGAAAATATCCCAGAATTCTAGCCACAGGGTCTTAAACCTACACATGGGGTAGCATGTCTCCCGATGAGCAATCCAGCTCCCCTGAGACAGCTCACCTGTCCTGTCCTCCAGGAAGACCTCCAGGGGTGCTCACACAACCGCCCACTGCCCCTTGCACCTGCCTTGGGGGGTGTTCACCCACCTCTCCGCCCTCAAGAACTGGGGAGGACTGTCCTTTATCATGGCCTGCCTGCATGCAACAGCGTGTCTAGCACATGGTAGCCATCCATACACGTTTGCAGAATGCACAGATTCACAAATTTCCCAAAACGTATACATGTTCCGCTTGGTAGCTAGAGGCAGCTGAGAGATTCTAGAAGACCTGTCCTTCTCTTCTCTAAGAGAGCAATGCAGTCTTTCTTACGATGTCTCTTTGGTAAGGGTAACTAGTGTGCTGTGAAAGATAAGATATTGGTTTGGGGTTGGACTGATCAAATATTTGGAGAGACCAGGAGAGAGAGTTTGACTCTGCAGGACATTGAACGTTCCACATAGCTCATGGTGGGGTTGGTCTCTGAGCCCAGTGGAATCCCAGGCTTTAAGGAAACAACACGCAGATGGGAACAAGTGGGACCCTGACCTTTCCGTCATGATGTGACTTATGCCCTGTTTGCTCCCAATAGGTCAAGGAGACTTTGACTTAGCCGACGCCCTCGACGACCCAGGTAAGTGACAATATTTCGATGTGAGCTTTGCCTTTTCAGCTGGTGTCTGAAAGAGTCAGTTTCACAGTTGCTTTCGGGTTGGGTTGGACCAGTATTTGAGATTCCTTGGTATGGAGATCTCTGGTCTCCATACAAGATTGCAGGCAGCTGAGACTAATCCTTAAGCACCCTCTAAAAGTCCCATTGCCAAGGTCCCCTTCATTGGGTAGTTCAGACTCATTTCTTGTTAGGTCCGTGCTACCCAAACCACTGGTTTGGGGATACCCTGGTAGTATGTGCTTTCCTTAAATTTTAGTTCCTGTCCCTTGTTGTCCCACACCCTGACTTCCGTCAACAAAATCAAACTCACTTCTAGAGCCTTCTGCCTCCCCTTTTTCAGATTGGGATCTCTAGCCACCTGCCCTCACACAGCTGCTAGCTTTCTCCCTAAAGGGCACTAACTGCCTGAAACATGCCCACATCTGTGTTTTTCACCACCCTTGAGTTCAGCTGGGACCTTTCCAGTTGACCAGAAAGCTGAAAATAGACCTTGAGATTGTCTGGCTTAAGGCCTATAGTCTAGTTGGGATTCGGGTGTATTCAGAACTGTATGGATGACAGAAAGGAAAGGGTTTGGTTTGGATGCAGGCTCAGTGGGACCAGGGATTCCTTTTGAAAGAAAACCAAACACTCATGTACCCATAGGAAGAATTATGGGGTTTTGGCATTTATGGACAACTGGTCACCCAATGCAGTTAAACAAGGGTGGTGGTTAGAGAAAGAGAGAATACAGATCAGATATGATCCTTAAAAAGCTACAATAAAATGGTACAAAATCATCTCTCTCCCAATTGTCCTCCAGTGAGACTAACTGAGGATTTTGCAAATAATCATCATGACAGAGCAGATACAAAACTATTGTTGGTACAATAGAAAAATCTAATGACTTATCCGAACATTGACATGCCATTTCTTCCATCAGATTGGCAAAGGTGGAAGGCTAAATCCTCCCCCTTCTAGGTGGGTTGTGAGCTGACGTTGAAGGATAATATATGGTGGTGACCACTTTGGAGGCGTTGAGAGTTTTCCTCCAAAATTTAGTCCAAGTGTGCATCACTAGGAGTTGGGTTGAATGAAGAAAGAAGCGTGGTTGCAATGGAATGTCATGAGCGGTGAAAGAGGGGTGGGTCTGTAGGCTCAGATGCAGAATAACCTAAGATACATCACCGATGAAGAGAAGCATTGAAATCTGACCCATACATTCCACTCCTGGGTAGATACCCAAGAAAGCAGGAAGCAAGGACTCCAACAGATATTCGTGTACCCATGTTCTTAGCAGCACTGTTCACAGTGACCAAAAGTTGGACACAACCCAAATGCCCATTGACTAGAGAATGGAGCAACACAATGTTTTCCTTCACCCAATGGAATAGTATGCAGCCATGAAAAGGAATGAATCCCTGACATCTGCTACGATGTGGATGCACTTTGTGTGTGTGTGTGTGTTTTTAAAATTTATTTTATTTATTGAGTCAAAATCAATTATACATATTTTGGGGGTTGAACAATGAGCTATGTTGATCAAATCAATATTACTAGCATATGTATTGTTACAAATCACAATCATTCTTTACGTGCCTTGTCCAACCTCTTCCCTTCCCCCATTCCGTCCCCCTCCCCCCTCTAATTGCCCTAGATTTCTTCTCTCCTTCTGAAAGGATAATGGTTACTCTGTTGATTTGTTGCCTAGATGATCTGTCCAATGCTGACACATGTGATCAGGTCCCCCAATATTATCATAGAGCAGCTGCTTCTTCTGTCACTCTGAAATGGGCTTTGTGGAAAGAGACATCCTCTTCTTTTTTTTGGTCTCTGCTGGTGACTTTCCTTGTGTCAATGCACTCCAGTGGCTGGTGGACCATCTGCATGGTGGTTGTGGTGTCTAGTTGCTTTCGGGGCAGCCATGGTTATTGTGGTGGCTGTGGTGGGCCACCCACGTGGAGGTGCTGTATAGTATGCTACTTGGCACTGGCAGTGTGCCTACTTCTGTGGTGTGTCTGGTCCCCTTCTCCATGCCCCAGGTCCCAGGGCAGGCCCCGAGGTGCTGGTGCAGTGTGCCTGGTTGGGAGGGGGGTCCAGTCCCCTTCTCCATGACTTGGGGGGGCTGGTGTGGTGTGTCTGGTTGTAGAAGAGAGGTCCGGTCCCTGTCTCCATGCCTTGGGTCCCTGGGTGGGCCCCAAGGGGCTGGTGTGGTGTGTCTGGTTGTAGGAGAGAGGTCCTGTCCCCTTCTCCATGCCCTGGGTCCCAGGGCAGGCCCTGAAGCACTGACATGGTGTGCCTGGTTGTGGGAGGGCGGTCCAGTCCCCTTCTCCATACCCCGGGTCCCCGGGTAGGCCCTGAGGAAGTGGCATGGTGTGCCTGGTCGTTGGAGGAGGGTCCAGTCCCTGGCTCCATACCTCAGGTCACTGGGCAGGACCCCAGGTGCTGGCTAGGTGTGCCTGGTTGTTGGAGGAGGGTCCGGTCCCCTTCTCCAATGTGGATGGACTTTGAAAACATGATGCTCCGTGAAAGAAGTCAGACACATAAGGCCACAACGTGTATGATTCCATTTATATAAAATGTCCAGAACAGGCAAATCCATAGAGACAGAAAGCAGGTTAGTGGTTGTCAGGGGCTGGGGAGAGGACAAATGAGGCGTGACTGCTACTGGGTATTGAGGTGATGAGAATGTTCTGGAACTGGATAGTGGTGGTTATATAAAATTGTGAATGCACTAAATGCCACTGTATTGTTCACTTAAAATACTAGTGTGTGCTGTGTGAATTTCACCTGGGTAAAAAAAAAAAAAATCACTGAAAGGCATTTCCTTTCCACCCAGCTACTGAGGCCTTTTCATTGCTCACCTAGATGACCACAAATGTCTGAAAATGAACCTTCATGGCTGTGTTATTTTCCTAAGAGCCCCCCATGGGTGGGCAGACATGCACTCATTTACCCACAGCCCTTCCCTGTGGGAAGGAATCCAGGACACATGGGAACCACGGTCACCTGCACCCCCTTCCTTGTCCTCCTGCCACCCTGTCTGCCCACCCATACCCCACACCAAGTTCGCTGAGCAGGGTGGCCACGCTCTGCACCCTGAGTACCCCCCACCTGATATCCACACCCATGAACGCTGTCCTAGTCAATTTCTGTTGCTTATAATGTAAATACCTGGAACCGGGTGACCTGTAAAGAAAACAGAAAGTATTGCTTGCAGTTCAGAGGCTCGGAAGTTTAAAGTCCAGGCAACACTTCTGGTGACGGTCTTGGTGGTGGCATCAGTGACAGGAGGGTATCACCTTGTGAAATGGTGGAGTAGAAAGAGAGAGAGTAACCTCTTCCTTCAGTCTCTTCTTTTAAAGCCCTCAGAACCGCACCCCTGACCACCATTATTAATCCATTCACTACTGCACGGTCCTACAATCCAATCACCTCTTCAAGGCTCCACCTTTCAATGACCATAATAGGATTTCCCACCCTCTTAATAGTCACAATGGGGGCCAAGTTTCTGATACATAAAACTTGGGGGACACAATTCAAGCTTCACGGAGTTTGGGGTGGGTCTAAGTCAATCCACTCCAAATGCTGACCTCATAGTGTCATGACTGCTTGTGTGACTGTGGATGTCCCCATTTGCACACTCTCTGACACTGGTGGGCATTCAATAAATGTTTGCTGAATTAATAAAATGAATTAATGAGAGAAAGTGAGGGGAGGCATCATTCCAGAAGCAGGGAACCTCTGTCTGTCTTTCCTTTTGCTTCTTCTACCACCATGGACCGCAGCTCTGCAGACACGAGGCTCACCTCGCTAATGCACGTGGCGACAGGTGCATGCCCAGCTGGGCTGGATGCTCTTGGCTATGTTGACCTACCTGTGGATACCCACACATGCCCAAGGCAGACTGCTGAGCACAGGTTTAGAGGGTGCTTCCTTTTTGTTTTTCCCCAAATACTAAATGCAATTTGTGTTCATATCACTTATTTATTTATTTATTTGTGCTTTGTCATTTTCTTTTTATTTTTCACTGGGCCTTTCTTGGTGCTGCTGATACATCTTGGATACTTACTGAATTTATTTTCTCCCTCTTTTTTTTTTTTTTTTCACAGAACCCACCAAGAAGCCAAACTCAGGTGAGTGACTCTGGCTGAGCACAACAGAAACAACAGCCTTGAACCAATGTTTTTGAAGGGATGGATGAGGATGTTTTACAGGGTTGTGGAGTGCACCAACAAGGTGCAAGAAATGAACCACTGAGCAGATGTTAAAAGCAAACTGTAGTCATTACAGAAATGTGAATGCAAACCACAGTGAGATAATGCTTCACACCCACTAAGATGGTGTATTAGTCCATTTCTGTTGCTTATAATATAATACATGGGACTGGGTAACTTGTAAGAAAATGGAATTTATTGCTTACAGTTTTGGAGGCTGGGAAGTCCACAGTCTGGGGAACACATTCGGTGAGGGTCTTCTTTGGTGGTGGCTTTACATCAATGCAGGGGTCTCACATGGCAGAAATGGTGGAGCAGAGAGAGAGAGTAACTTGTCATGTGCTCTCCTTCTAAAGCCCTCAAAACGACACCCCTGACCACCATTATTAACCCATTCACTACTGCATCGTCCTACAATCCAATCACCTCTTCAAGGCCCCACCGTTCAACCACCATAATAGGACTTCCCACCCTCTTAACAGTCACAGTGGGGGCTAAGCTTTAGTGTATGGACTTTGGGGGACACATTTCGATCAACACACAGCAGACAGCTAAAATCCAAAAATGAAAAATAGGTGGTGGGAGGGTGTGGGGGAATTGGAACCCTTCTACACTGCTGTGGGGGCAGAGCATGGTGCAGCTACTGTAGAAAAATGGTGTGGCAGTTCCTCAGAAAGTTAAACACAGGACCCAGCAATTCCACTTCGAGGTCTGTGCCCCAAAGAATTGGAAACAGGTGTCCAAAGAAAAACGTTTACATGAATGTTCACAGCAGCACCATTCATAATAGACAAAATGTGGAAACAACCCATGTCCATCAACTAAGTGCATAAACAAAATGTGGTCTACCCATATGGTAGGATATTATTTAGCCTTGAAAAATGAAGGACTGACACCTGCTGCCAAGTGGATGGACCTCAAAGACGTTGTGCTGAGTGAGAGAAGAAAGTTACAAAAGTCCACAGAGTGTATGTTTTCATTTATAGAAAAGATCCAGAATAGGCAAATCCATGGGGACAGAAAGTGAAGGTCTCCTTTTGGGGTGAAGAAAATGTTCTAGAACTAGAGGTGGTCTTTTTTCAGTATTGTGCGTGCAGAAAATGCCCTGAATTGTTCACTTTAAAAGAGTTAATTTTATGTTATGTGAATTTCACCTCAATTAATTTTTTTTTTAATTTTTAAAGATAGCCTTTGTTCCTCCTCTGCCCCCCAACAATGCTTCAGTCCACACCTGGGGGTGATGGCGGACTTCGTATGAATAATGTTCTGCTGTGTTATAGCCTCTATGTGTGTCCCTATAGCCACGTGGTTCTCTCCCAGTGGAGAGGACAGGACTAAATTGTCAGGTCATGTCACTACAGAAAATGAAGGAAAGAGACCAACTCGACATAGTCAAGCTTAGGACAATTGGTTTTTCTCGTGAATAATGCATAATTAAACTTCAACCTCATGTAATCCTTAAAAACAAACTCCAGGTGGCTTATAAACCAAAATGTGAACAGGAACGCTTTAATGTATTTTGGAAATATAGAAGAAAAGGTTATAAAGACTATGTTAAATAAAATGTAAAAAGCACAGTGTCTTTAAAATGGGTAAGTCAGAATATGCCTAAGTTTTTAAAATAGTAATAATTACTCTTGACTGCAGATACTCCAAAATTAAAAAGATACGTTGCTGGTTGAGAGAGGCTACTTGCCCCATATATAACCAGTAGGGGTTTAGTATATAAAATATATAGATAGCTCCTACCAAAAACCAAACAAAAAAAACCCGACAAACAAGGGTTAAAAGAAGGAGAGTCTGTCTGTGAAGCATCTCAAAAGAGACATGTATTACAAAAAATATGGTGAAGGTCACATGCATTTAAACCATTGTTTAAACAATTGGTCTTAATAATAAAGGCCATGTATAAGTCACATCATACCCCGTAAATATATACAATTATTATTTGTCAATGAAAAGTAAAATTAAAAACCAAAAGGCCCATTAAAGTTCTGGCAATGACGATCTGAAAAAGCCAAAGATCTCACAAATTGCTGGTGGCATTATAACATGGTTCAGAGACTTGAAGAGGGGTGGCTAGTTAGCTCAGTTAGTTAGAGCCCAGGCTTATCACACCAAGGTCACGGGTTCAGATCCCCTGACTGCCCAGCTGCAAAAAAAAAAAAAAAAAAAAAAAAAAAAAAAAAAAAAGAGCCCAGGCTTATCACACCAAGGTCACGGGTTCAGATCCCCTGACTGCCCAGCTGCAAAAAAAAAAAAAAAAAAAAAGAAAAGAAAAGAAAAGACTGAGACATTTGGGGACATTTGAATATGATAACATAACATATCCCCTGCAATTCTGCTTTCAGGGTAGACAGCGGTGAAAACTCACCCACATGGTCACAAGCAGAAAAGCATGCCAGTGAAAGCTGATTGTAGCATTGTTTGCAAAAGAAAAAAGGATGTTAAATGTTCAATGAGATCATTGTGGGAAACTTAGGTGATGGAGGTGTTGAGAAGATAGTTATGGCACCAGTATAAATGCATCTCAAAGATATAATAAACAGTTTTAAAAAAAGAAACAGGTAGAATCAGGGTTATCTATTTAAACACGCAACATAGGCAACTGTATATTGATGATGGATATGTACGTGTGTGGTAGATGTTTTAAAAATCATTTAGAGAGGCACCTGCCCACTCTAGAATAGGATTTGAGTCCTTTTCTCTGGAAAAGAGGTTGGTGAGTCTGCATCTACTATTTGGAAAAGAAAAAAAATAGTCGCAAATAGCATGAAATACAATTTCTTCTTGGTTGTATGTTTTCTCTGATTTTATTTTTAACTGAGAGCATATCATTTGTTTAAGCTAATAGTGCTTAAAAGGCTAGGAAGCTAATGAGCTTGGAAGTGAGAGCACTTTCACATTGATAGCAGGGTTTTTGGTATGACCATCAGAACACCCATCAGGACTGCGGGTAAATTTATTCTTCAGCCGTTCTTAAATTTCCCTTTGGGGTACTTGCCACTATAATTGCAGGCAACAGCACCGTTTTTTTTTTTTTTTTTTTTTTTTTTTAATAAAGAAAATTAGCTTTTAGGAACAAGAGTGAAACTTTAAAAAAAAATAGGTTTTGAGGTTTCACGTCTAGTGGCTAAGTAATTTTTTAGCCAGACAATGATAGTCTGTGAACACACTGTGAGCGGACGTGTGAAGAAAACATAAAATTAATCATCATATTGATGTGCTTGTTTTATAGGCTGCTCCAGAGAGAAGGATGTTTTTCTTGTCTAAAAGCGCAATGTCCTTTTCTCTGCAGATATCTACCCAAAGCCGAAGCCACCTTATCACCCACAGCCTGGAAATCCAGACAACAGTGGAAGTAAGGCTTCTGACCTTTCAGATTCCTTTCAAATTCGGTTTGAGGCAGTTTGCCTTTTATTTACTCGCCGTGCTAGCTTGGCTGCTTTTGAAATACGTATATAATACCCCCCTGGCCAGGCATTGAGTTCCATTCCTAACGAGCAGGTAGCAAGGAGGTTGGATCGATACCAACAATTTCATTCTCTCTTTGCTGTGACACCTGAAAACTATGTACTGAAAGGACAATTCCCACTGTTGTCACAGAAAACAAATAAGACTGGAAGACAAGATTGTTTTCTAATGTGTTTTCAGTGTTCCAAATAAGGTTGGTTTTCCCATTCAAAAACACCCACCTGAGTTGTGTGTTTTATATCATTTAGTCTTAGTTTCTCCACTTTTCCAAAACATCGGCAGACGCTTCTTTCATGGCCACTGAGGAACAGGCAACTCAACAGTCACAACAACAAAGAACACTGGCTGTTCAACAACCCTGAAAACTTAAAATTTAGCCAGAGCAGCATGACTCCAGCTAAGTTGTGAGACTTCTGGAAGCTTCCTGGAAGCTAGTTCTGGCTTTGAACAGCTCAACAGTGTGCTCAGTCTGTCCCAACATGCCACTTTCACACGAACAGAAATTCATTTTCTCATACAAGAAGTCGTTAAAAATAAGACTAAGACCCAACAAAGATGATACCAAATTGAAAAGCAACACGTCACGTTAACCGTGTTAGTTAATTTTTCCTGGATTTTTTCCTTTGTGTTATTAACATCTCCAATCCTGTCAACTTCTCTCACATACTGTCCTGGTCTTTTAAAAATTATTGTCCCATAGAGCTTGGATGTTCTGCAAAACACTAGTGGAAATTCTTCATGGAAAGTGATTCCTGCTCAAATCTATCTGGGGAACTCTGGGTTAAACCAATTGCTCTGGACTTCCCTGTGTGGACTGCCAGAGCTTTAAATGCTAACCATCCTTTAACGTGAGTCATCCTGAGTTTGGGCACTTAGCACTTCCCAAACCTGAGTGACTCATGACCCCGAGGGACAGGGGAGGCTCAAGCTTGGGAGGTGACCCTCTGTGACTCAGAGCTGGATCTTCTGATTCACGCCACAGTTAGGAAGAATGTTGCTTTCTGGTTTTGGTTTCAGGCTGTGCCTAAATCCAGCTGTGGGATTCCTTTAGAATGTCAGTACTGAATTATTCATTTGCATGGGACGTGAGACCCTAGAGTATTTGATGCAGAAAAGAAGCAAATTCAGCATACACACCCAGAGAAGAGGAAAAATAAAGTCAGACAGAACTTAATTACAGCCATCCCCTTATCTGCAGGGGATAGGTCCTAAGAACCCCCATGGAATCCTGAAACCATGGAGAGTACCAAACCCTATATATACACATATATTGTGTTTTTTTCCTATACATATACACCTATGAGAAAGCTTAATTTATAAATTAGGTATAAAAAGAGATTAACAGCAATAACTAATAATAAAACAGCAATTATAACAATACACCATAAGAAAATTAAGGTAAGGTTTCCTTGAACACAAATGCTGAGATACCAGGACAGTTGATTTGATGACCCAGACCACTACCAAGTGATTAATGGGCAGGCAGTGTATACAGCACAGATCTGCTGAATGAAGGAATGATTCACATCGGGGGCAGATGGAGAGAGATGGTGCAAGGTTTCAACATGCTAAACTTATGAATTATTTATTTCTAGAATTTTCAGTATAATAGTTTTTTGAATTGCAGTTGGCCACCAGTAACTACAGTAAAACCTCAGATAAGGAGGTCTACTGTATGAATACTGTGATGTAGGAACAGAACTGCACGCTAAACTGTGTGCTTGACCCAGGCTAGACCAAACCAGCTCAGGCTAGCCCAAACTCCACTATACGTACCTTGAGAAGGAAGAAAAGTCCTGGAAGGCAGCGTGAAAACTCCCTTCAAGTCAGGGTGTTCTGGAACATTCTGTTGGACAATGAAGGCGATTGCTGATGGGCTACATAGAGAAAGGCCCTGCAGGTGGAATGTTCTAGGACTTTCCACGTTCTCTATCTGCCCTCAGTGACTGGCGTCTTCAAAGCCCCAGAGGTGTCCCTCCCTTAGAATTAGATTCAGGGGAACCTCAGATTCTTTTCTGCCTGTGTCGTCTTGGATTCAGTTCATTTTTCATGGCTTCTCCTGGGGGTCCTGTTATACTTTTCAGCCCTCCTGTTAACTTTCCTCTTCCTATCTGTGCCTGTCCCCCTGGAGAGACCCCAGTATTAGTCTGATTCTCTCATCTGACCCCAGCACTTGCATCCATGCTGTTTTGAAAGTAATAAGGAGAGGATTCTGCTTAATGAAAGCTGTCATGGGCTGAATTGTGTCCCCCAGAATTCACTGGTTGAAGTTCTAACTCTCAGGAACTCAGACTGTGGCAGTGTTTGGAAACAGGGTCTTTAAAGAGGTGATTAAGGTAAAATGAGGTCACTAGGGTGGGTCTTAATCCAACAGGACTGCTGTCCTCATAAGAAGAGGAGATTAGGACACAGACACACACAGTGGGACAACCATGTGAGGACACAGGGAGAAGACAGGGTCTACAAGCCAAAGAGAGAGGACTCAGGAGGAACCAGCCCTGCCACACCTTGATCTCAGACTTTCAGCCACACCTTTATCTCAGGCTTCCAACCTCCAGGACTATGAGAGAATAAATGTCTGCTCTTTAAGCCACCCAGGCTGTGGTATTAATATGTCATTGACCAGATGGGCTCAACAAACCTAGCTGTACAGGAGGCAGGAAAATCAAGGCATTTAGTTTTCAGCTTACAAAGTAGAGCAAAGTGGTTATAAAGGGGCTGGTAGTGTCCGCTCCAGTGTCTACTGTACTGTGTCTCTCTGGGGTTTGCAATAAACCTTTCTAACCTTCCTGCTGATCCCACAGAAACAACAGGTACTTCTCGAAAAACTCCCACACTTTGAATTTCATGATTGTTATGGGCCGAATTGTGTCCCCTGCAAATTCGTATGCTCAAACACTCAGCCCCAGTACCTCAGACTGCGATGGTATTTGGAGATGAGGTCTTTAAAGAGATGATTAAGGTAAAATGAGGTCACTAGGGTGGAACTTAATCCAATAGGACTGGTGTCCTTATAAAAACAAATTAGGACACAGACATGCACTGAGGGATGACCATGCGAAGTCATAGGGAGAAGTCGGCATCTACAGGCCAGGGAGAGAGACCTCTCAGGAGAAACCCAGGAATCTGGGCAAATAGAGGTGCTGGCTGTGGGTGAAGAAGAGAGAGCTCACAGGGGACGAAGGTTTGGGCAAGCAGTGAGTGACGTCGAAGTGAGGCACCCAGAGCCACCCTGAGCCAAGTCATATATGCAGCACATGAGCTCTGGGTCTGTGCGTCCTGCCTCATGAACCAAAGCTCACAAGTGTCCTGTCTGGATTTCTTTGTCTGGTCCCCGAGGCTCTGCCATCTCCCACACTTGTATCATCTTAATGACATCAGAGGAGAGTCTCTTTTAAGAAGTGAGAAGCACATGTGCTCAGCATGGACTTCTAGTGTCCTGAGATGTCTGTCTTGGAGAAGGACTTTGAGCACAGAGTCCTTGCATTTTGCCCCAAATTAATGTCATTTCTCTCTTAATCAAACACAGAGAGCACCTTCCAGATGCCGTGAGTGGCAGGTCATGGAAACATAAATCCAGTTTCCAGTCCTGCTGCACAAAGCAACAGAGATACAGACCAGATGTTGCACAAAAAGCTTGCATTGATTGATTTATTTCAGCTGTTTAAATAGGGTCAAAGGACACTTAAGCTAAGAGAAGAGGAATGAGTTGATACTTTGCCAAGCAACAAATGGGTTTTTCAAATATGTACGGAGTGTGTAAAGTGACAGATAGGCAGTGGAAAGGAAATACTGGCAGAAGTATATCATGTGCAAAGGTCCTGGGGCGGGAAGCTCATGGTAAGTTTGAAGGGTGGGCAAAGGGCATTGCAGGAAACCTTTTTTTTTTTTAAAATTTAAATGAAAGAATACTTGCAACCAAGGTGGACTATATAACAAACTATAAAAGATATGATTTCTTTTTGTAATATTGGTGACTGACTTTTGTAAACAGTTCTGGCATTTGTAATATCCCTAAACATTGAAACATCCACAGCACAGTATCTACCCTATTAATTTCAGGGATCCATGGACTTCTTGCCATAAGAACCAGGGAAGTACCTTCTGGGAATGAACATGATTTTTTTTTTAAACTTTATTCTTTCAGGCATTAATGCAAATGTTGGTTGCACAATTAACAGGCTCTACAAAAACTATGAGCATCAGACATAAATATACCATAATATCTTTTTAAAAATTTTTGTGTGTATTTCGGTATTCTTATGTAGAGATCGTTCATGCATGAAAGATGTCATTATTATGACACCAAGTTATTTTCCAACAGATATCTACCCAAGGCCAAAACCCCACCCTCACCCGCAGCCTGGAAATCCTGGCAATAGTGGAGGTAAACGTAATGAACGTTAAGATCTATTTCAGCAGTGTTTGCATGCAACTTTTATATTTAATGACGTAAAACTCTAACTTTGATGGTGAAATGCCAATTGCTTTTGAAAGGCACAGAGGTGATTTTGCAAGTTCTGCTACCAACCAGCTCCTGAGGTTTCAGTATGTTGATGGCAAATATATTTTATTTATTTTATTTTATTTTTTTTCGGCATAATTGACTGAAAGTACAATTCACTTGAGGACGTTTCACGTTATGATGGAGGAAGACACTCATTTCTTTGTGCTTTGTTGGTTTTCGTTTTGAGTGTCCTGTTGATTTTTGATTTCATTTTCAAGAGCTATTTGGGGTCACTGTGCCTGTGTTCGTAAAGCATCTCCTGTCTCAGTGTTGGAAATCGAGTCTCACCATGGATCGATGAGCAGACCATTCAGGAAAGGGATGGCGGTCCTTTAAGGTGGAAGAGACTCTATGACTCTACTGCTGGGCAAATGTGTGAGGACATTTGCAGGGATGCTAGTGAAAGCTAAAATACACCTGGTGTCCTTCCTATCTGCTTTGGCAGTCAGGATTTGCCCTGACTCCAATTCTCTCTGTCTCTGGATGTTGCTTGGATGCTGTTGCTTTTCTAGGGTCCGATGCACTCATCACAATACTCAACTAACCAACCTTCGGATGTGCCCAGATGCCATTTCCTTCAGGTCTTGTAACTAATGATTTGTGCTCTTTCTTCAGAAAACATGCTGCCCCCTTTTCCCACCTCCCCACCTCTTGCAAATCTCCGTCTCCAAGAATGGACCTCCTTATGCAAAACTTAGGTCCCTGTCCACCCACCTGTCTCCAGCCACCCGTCCTCTACGTTCCTCTGCTCTGTCTGAAACATTTGATATTTTCATATACACACTGCCACACAATGCTGTCAGCTTATTTCTTTAATGATAGTGAGAATTTCACCCAGGCGTGGAGGTTTGTCCGCCATTAAATGCTACGTCGCCATTTCCAGAAGCTATACCAGGAGCCGGGTGGGTAAAGATCTGTCCCATGATTAGTGCCAGAGTCCAAACGGGCAAACAGTTCATTCAGCAATGTAGGACTAGCCCTTAAATCTCTTTGTCAGGGTACAGAACTTCAAATCCATTTGCCCTCCACCCCTGAAGGCTCGTTGTCTTCTGATCCCCAGCATGCATCCAGCAAAACATGAATTAAGGGTGTTTATCTGGGATGCTTCCCACTCAAAGATGTTTTAGTTCAGCAGGTGCAATAGATCTCTTGAACTCCACAGAGCCTTGCATTTAATCTACTAGGTACTACTATGTCTTTGGCCTCACAGGTTTGTTCTACTGCAGGACACGTGTGTCCCCAGAGCTCTGGAGAGGCTTTGCTGAGGCTTTGGCATGATCCACACCAAAGCAAAGCAGAACAACCATGCTCTGCCTTTTGCATTTCACAGTTTAAATACACCCCACCAGCATGTTTTTTCATCCTGGACTGACAGTGGTACATGTCTTCAAGGTTTCTTAGAGACATACAAAGACCAAATTATCTTCATTAGACCAAGCTTGGAGATAAAAGAGTCTGAGACTGAATAATCAGATTCACAAACCATGAGAAGGTCACCTTGTATTTCATTAGGGCCCCAGTAGCTCAGACTATGACACATGCCATGAGAAGGCAGGGGGGCAGGTGAATTCCCCAGAAAGAACTTTGTCAGGGGACCAAAGGATATCTTAGGAAATGAGGCTTGGAAATCAGCGTTGGCAGGTTATTGAGAAAGCTCTGGCCAAGCAGGTGGGACGATGCCCTTGCAGGAGCATGTCTGGCTCTTGAGGAGGAAAGACGGTCTCACACCTCAAACAGAATAGAGCAGGAATGAAGGGACTGATGTGTATAACTCTCTGAGGGTTGGTAGTGCCTGTGGAGGACTTTTAAACTCTGAACTCTCTAGGACTTGCCTTCCTGAGTCCTGGCACTGGGGTGCCGAGAGAGACGGGGACTGGGGCTGTGGCAGACAGGGACTCGAAAGGAAAGAAGGAGAAGGGGTTGTGGGCATCCAGGGAGCTGAGATCGTGGCCAGGGAATTAGCCAAGGCTGGGGGCAGGAGGGTGCATATGTTGAAGGAGAAACTTCAGAAGGAGGTGCTGGTTGATGCAGCAGAAGAGGTGTCAGGACAGGACGTCTCTCCTTCCGGGCTCTCCTTCCAGCCTCCCACAGGGATGTGGGTTTTATTTTGCATATGAAGAGGGTCCAGGGCAGATGACTGGCCAGGGAGGAAGGCAGGGCCAGACGGGGCTGTGGTGGGAGGTGATGTTGGCTCTGTCCAGGGTGCAGGTGGTTATAACAAGGGGTTGAGCAGGAAGAAAGGCCAGGACGGAGTAGAGAGCATGGGACACGCAAAGGCCCATGAGCTGGGAGCAGCCGGGGCCTTCCAGGAATAGAGTAAAGGCAGGGGATTGAGAGAGGGGGCACTTTGAGGGAGAGGGGTCCAGGCCCCATGTCGACACCAGATCTTGAGCTTTATCTCAGCCCTGAGGAAGGCTTTGGGCAGGAGATACCTTGGGGAGATGTGCAGACACCCACAACATGAGGTCCCCTTGCAGGCTGATCTGTTCTCAAAACACACGTCCCCGGGGCAGCACGGACAGCCCACCCTTTCTGCCTCCAGGACACCTGGAATTTGGTTCCTGGTGTCCGTGAACACCCTGGAATGAGCCAGCTGGGGCAGAACACTCTTCTATGTAAACTGCCTGCGGTCCCTAACAAGGACATGGGTTAGAAGCAGGTCTTTGGGGAGGACATGACAGAATGGGGTGTGCTCCGCTCTGCAGGTTACTATAACGATGTGGACCGTGATGATGGACGCTACCCGCCCAGGCCCAAGCCCAGGCCACCTGCAGGTATGTGTGGGGCTGCTCTGGCCATGTGGCTTTGCCCAGAGGGGGTGGTCTGGGCATAGTCGGCAGAGGGCAGAAGGTGGGATGATGCTGGTGACGGCAGAGAAGTTCCCATGGCTGCATCTGGGGTGTGTGGTCTGTGGACCTGTCCATGTCATGAGGTTAGGGACGAAACAGAAGCTGGAAATGGGACAGATGAACCTAAAGATTCCATTAAAAAATTTGTGGCCATTTCCCTATAAACTTACATAGGTGTGAGGGTGTGTTATGCATGTGTATAGACATGTCTTTATATATGTGCATCTTTTCAATCTTTATGTGTGTGTATACATTTATATATATATATAAGTATACTTTTATATACTCTTATGTATATAAACATCTTTATATACGTGTATTGACATGTCTTCATATATTTATACATACTTATAAATCTTTAAGTGTCTGTAGATACCTTTATATATATGTCTCTATATATCTATGTGTATATATTTTTATATATTCTTTGGTATATAAACATATTTATGTATGCATGTTTATAGACAAGTCTGTATATATGCACACTTATAAATCTTTATATGTGTGTGTATATATACACCTTTATACGAGGGTTCTTTATAACGTTCGTGGAAAGATCTATATTATCTTTTAATTTTATTTTTCCACAGACTTTTTGAAGTACCTTTGTGTACATACATATTTATATCACTATATATACATATTTATATATGTGTATATATTTGTGCATATATATATATCTTTATATATGTACATACCAGTCTTTTTTTTTCTTTCTTTGTGACTGGTAAGGGGATCGGAACCCTTGGCTTGGTGTCACCCGCACCACGCTCAGCCAGTGAGCGCACTGGCCATCCCTATATAGGATCCGAACCTGTGGCCTCGGCACTCCCAGCACCACTGCGCTCCCAGTGCCGCGCTCTCTGGAGTGAGCCAGGGGTTGGGCCCTATCAGTCTTTATATATATACATATAACCTTTATTTATGTGCATATATATTTTATATGTGTGTGCATGCATACCTTTATATATACAGGAATATATACCTTTATATATGCATGTATATATCATTATATTTATAAGGATCCTTGTGCTTTTTATATATGTATATAAATAATTTTATATATATTTTATGTATTTGTGTTATAAATACAAGCATACTTCCAAAAGTTCATGAAAAAACTGAATTAAAAGAAAATGCAAATTCTTCCGTGAACTATTTAAAGATTTTGTACACCTTTATATATACAGTATATAAAGTACATACCTTTATATATGAATATCTTTATATGTCTATGTCTACCTTTATATATGTATGTATATATTAACATATGTGTATATAAATGTCTTTTGTATACATTGCTATGTGTATATATTTCATGTGTGTATATACATACCATTTATACACACACATATATTAAACCTTTATATATGTACATGTATTTCTTCATATATGTGTATATTTATATGTTTTTATATATACATAACATATATACTTTTAGGTGTGTGTGTGTATATATACAGATTAAGATATGTATGCATATCTTTATACACACAGATTACATATAAAACTTTATGTATAACTTTTGGGATAAAGTTTCCATTATAATTGGAGCTTGAATGCCTACAAAGAATCTTTCATATACAAATAAATATACAGACAATAGGAGACAGAGAGACATGCAGTGCTGAAGTGTGTAGCATTCATAGCTTTATTTTCAAGCACGAGAGGTTTCTAGTCTGTATATTTCTATTTTATTTTCAAAGAGGTACAGGACTTGTCCCTGATACCTTGCAAAAGTGGACAAGCAGGTTGTGTCAGGAAATCTTTTCCATGATGCTTACATGCAATAAATAAATCTCTTTGTCTTGGAATTTATTGCAATAGTGATCAGAAAAAAAAATAGTTCTTAATAAAGGGGAATTAAGAGCATTTATGTTTGGATTCATCTGTGGGGTCGTCCCTGTTATCCAGGCAATTGTGGATTGGAGTGGCTGATCCCACTAAAGTTCCCCTGTAGGAGGCATGGGAGCATGTGTTTGGAGACCTTGGGGTAAATGTTTCTTCTGTGAGGACAAAGAACTTTTGATAGAGAGAGCTCAGGTTTGGTGCGAGTTTCCCCATGCAGAAGATGTAATATTGGAGGGCCACCCTCAGTGGTGTTCTGGTGGCCATAGGGTGGGGGGTCTCTTGAGGGTGACTGGTTCGTACGGCTTTGGTGCCATGACCAGAGAGCCAGACACGCAGACAGTCGCCTGCTGGAAACCCCACGTTCAGCTGTCTGGATGTTTCCCAACTCCACTTTTTCTCTCCAACAGGAGGAGGCGGCGGCTACCCTAATTACGATGGCTACGGAAACAGTCATGGTATTTCCAGACCTGGGTGCAGGGTGGTGGCCATAGAGGTGGGAGAGGGTAGCATTTTTATGACTCCCAGCTGCATTCCACCCTATGCCTTCTAGCTGGGGGTCTTGGGTGAGTGGAGCTCTCTTGCTGGTGCCCGGTCTTCTGATCTCTCTCCATTCTGGGTTGTCCTGTTTCTGTTCTCTAGGAACCCAGGTGCAGTGACACACACACACATGCACACATGCATGCACACACGCACACACACACACACACATGCATGTGCATTCACGTGCACGCCTTTGTTTAGGTGGAAGCAACAGAGCAAAGGACCACAAGACTACTTAGAGATTTATTTATTAGATATCCCACATCCCCACAGCATGAGAATGATGCATGCATGGTTACTCCATGCATGGTTGTCTGAAAATTCACCTTCGGTGAAAGGTGCGGAGCCTTTCTGGAGCGTGTTCTCTCGTTCTTTGCCATAGTCATAAGTTAGCAGGAAACGAATCATCCCGTGGCTCCTGGGAGCCCTGGCTAGTTTCCTGCTTTCCCAGGAAATCAGGGAGGGGTTCCCATCACGTCGTCTGGCTCCCCACGTGGATTAAAGTTCACCAGTCAGGAGGCCGTTTCATCCCTCAGGCCTCAGGCCTCAGTACCAGAGCCAGGTACAAACAGCAGCTGGGCAAGGCCCATCTGGAGCTCATGAGCTACATCCCAGCTTTGGGTTTGGGGGCACAGGTTTTAATTTCCAGTCTGCCTGTGCAGAAGACCACCCCCTCCTATCCCTGTCTGGACCTCCCAGCTCTCTGGCCCTGAATGCGACAAGGGTATGCATCTGCCTTTGGATTAGCACTGAGGTGTTTGGGTTTTGGCCAGGGCAGTTGGGGGAGACACCCAGCTTCTCCCTGAAGGTGGTAAAACGTGTTCAGCGTGTTCCTGCCTCATGCAGAGTGCCGAGGGAAAGCATGAACCCTAAGTCTGTCCTCCTGCCTGATTATGGGGTGAAAATGTTTCAATCATCTTTTCTAAATGCTGGAGGGTTGAATACCCACTGTATGAGTCTGCTCAGGGCTGACATAACAAAGTCCCACACCCTGGGCAGCTTAAACAAGAGACATTTATTCTCTCCCAGTCCTGGAGGCTGGAAGTCTGAGATCCAGGCGTGGCAGGGCTGGTTTCTCCTGAGTCCTCTCTCCTCGGCTTGTAGACGGCGTCTTCTCCCTGAATCCTCACATGGTCGTCCCTCTGTGCATGTCTGTGTCCTAATCTCCTCTTATAAGGACACGAGTCCTATTTGATTAGGGCCCACCCTAATGACCTCATTTTACCTTAATCACCTCTTTAAAGACCTTGTTTCCAAATACCATCACATTCTGAGGTCCTGGGGGCTAGAGTTTCAACCTATGATTTTGGGGAGGGGGAGCATGATTCAGCCCCTGCCACTCACCATCCTTTTCGACGAGGCACTTATTAAATTATTCCTCGTATTTAAATAATACCCACACAAATTGTTCCACTTCAAAATCAGTGCCAAGCATTTTATTTTTTTAACTTCAAGACTGTCTTTGGAAATTGCTCTCAAGACATAAGAAGGAGCAGAGAAATCTCTTTTGCTGTTCGTGTGCTATGGCTGCTGTGTATTGCCTGTGTTTTCATACCATTGTTTTTTCTACCCACATTGGATGTGGTTTGCATTTGACTCCAAAGAAAATGCGTTTGCTTGTCAAAGTTGGGATCACAGCTTTTGGGGGTTGTGCCTCAGTTGCCAGCCTGCTCAGGGTCTCTGTGGGGTCAGACGCGACCTCGCTCAACAGTTCCCCTTTCCACACACCTGGAGAGCCTAGCTGGTGTCTCCACCACCTTTCATGGCATCCTCCTTCAGATTTGCCTGCTTGCTTCCTTCTGTGAGATCACACAGACTTCCAGAGGGTTATCCTGCATTTCATGGCTCTTTTCTACTCTGCAGGTAGAGGGGGCTATAGACCCGACTCTCGCTATGGAAATACTTATGGTAAAGGAATTCCGTCCTACAGGGTGTGTGAGGAGACACTCTCCATCCACGGGGAACTAATACCCAGCTGGGCACCAGTGGGGAGCTGGTGCTATTGTCTCCTGAATGGCAACTGATTGGCCTCTAACGCATGTGCTGACAGAGAGGTCTTGCATGCCTTCCTGCCTTATTTTCTTGAAGGGAATAATAGTCCACTTACGGGTGTCACTGTGTGCGCACAGGTGTGTGACTGTGCATGTGTGTGCATGCATGTATGCCTGTGTGTTTGTACACAGGAGTGCCAGTGAATATTGTGTGTGGACACATCTATGCATGTGTTCGTGTGTGTGCATGCACACATGTATGCAAATTTTGTGTGACTGTGTGTATGTAGATTGTGTGTTTGTGTGCACATGCATATGGGTTGCTTGTGTATGTGTGCATGTGTATGTTTGCATGTGTGCACTTGTGTTACATTTGTGTGTGCCTGTGTGTGCATGCATGTGTTTGTGCACATGGATTCTGTGTGCGTGCTCACATGCATGTTGTTTATATCTACACATATGTTTGTGTGTGCACCCATGTATATTCATGTGCGTGAGTTATGCACGTGTGCACAGGTATGCTTGTGTTACATTTATATGTGCAGGTTGTACATGTATGTGCATTAAATATGTACTTATTGGTGTATGCATGCACCTGTGTTTATGTGAATATGTGCATGTGTGTGGACATGTGCATGTGGGTGTGTGCTTGTGTTGCATGATTGCACATGGATTTCATGTATTCATGAACATATGCAAGTGTGCACATAAACATGCACATGTGTGCATGTGTGCTCAATGATGTGTGCACATTTATAAGTGTTTGCACTCTCTGATGTGCATGCATACATGCATGCATGTGCTTGTGTGTACATGCTCGTGTGTGCATGTATGAGTTCTGTACATGCATGCATTTGTGCATGAGCACACACGTGTGCATGTGTTTCATGTGTGTGGATATGTACATATGTGAATGTGTGCAAATGTGTTGAGAGTAAATCTTTTCTGCCTGCATGTTGCATGTACATGTGCATGTTGCACACATGTTTTTGTGTTGCATGTGTGTATATACATTCATGGGTGAGCACACACATGTGCATGTTTGTGTGGTGTGTGTGTGTGTGCATATGTGCTCATGTATTTGCATGCATGTGTTGCACATGTATGTGTATGTGTGAATATTCCCCCACTCTGAACTCAAAAGCTGCATTCCTGTCTCCCCTCACTATCCCATATTCAACTAAGCACCATTGGAAAAGGCATGTGCATTCACATCCCCCCTTTCTCATGCTCACAGTCTGCCCTGTTCCCCCACTAGAATGCAAATTCTGTGCAAACAGGGACTTCCATGTGCTGTGCTCTCTGTCCCATCCCCAGCCTCTCCACAGTGCATGGCAATAGGAGGCACTGTATGAGATCTTCTGAATAAGCACACGAATGTGTCCTCTTCCCTTCACAGGTGGAGGTGGCCATTTAACCTATGACAACTCTCACGGTAAGCGTTGGACTAAGCCAGCCCCGAGCTTTCGAGAAGAGCACATGCTTGCTCATCACTGTTGGGAGGGTCAGCATGGGCTTCTGTTATTATTCCAACCTAACGGCATTCATGCAGCACTTGCTGCATTTTTGTGTGTGCAAAGAAACTTCTGGGCAAAAAAGCCTGACCTTCAGGAGAGCATGAATTGCATGGGAGTTCAGAGAAAGAGGAGGCAAAGGTTGGTCTTCAAGCTGGAAGATGCCTCTTAGTTTTCACTGCAAGGTTCTAAAGGATGGCTAGAGTTATATGACCTGTCGAGGTACCACGTTGACCCCCTTTTCTTTGATGAGTACTAAACTTGAAACCCAAGAAGGAGAGAAGAAAGAAGTTATGGCCGTCCTGCCCTGAAAAAGCCCCAAAGTGCACCGTCAGCCCCATTGCAGGTCAAAGAATGGAGCAGTTGGAGCCCAGCAGGCTGACTTTACATCATGCTGGGAGAATGGGTCCCAGTCTCTTAGGAATTTGGGCTGTCCCCTGCTCAAGTTTACACTGAGCTTGAGAGTAAGCCTGCTCCTGCAACCACAAGGCTTTTGTGAGTTGTCAATTTTGGGGGAGAAGAATGTGACTGAAGTTGCTTCTCATCCCAATATATACACACACAGTATCCACACTACTACTTGTTGGGCATGTGGGCGTATTTAGGAAAACCATGGATGCTTTTCTTCTCTTGGCCACAAGGTGGGGATGGGGGGGGGTGAAAAGAAAGATGCCCAAGAGATTGCAGTCAGGCCTGGCACATGGCTTTGTAGGACAAAACTGCTTCTTCTTGCAGCAATCAGAAAAAAAGAAAGACTGATCCTAGAAGAGTGTGGGGTAGGGGTAGGTAAAGCTTCCTAGAGGAAGCAATACCCAAGTCAATGCCCCAAATATGTGGGAGAGGTGTCCAGGAGAAGCACGAAGGGTCAAGAATGATAGTGTGTCAGGTGGAGCTGGGTATACACCTGGGAACACCAGAAGTGTGTGTGGTCAGGTAAACAGATGTGGAGTGTGCACTTTATAAAAACATCAAAAGAAAGATCCTGCCCCCATTTATACATATCCATAGAATGGATCAGAGGGAGCCCACGAAGGGTTAGGGAGACCAGCTTCAGGACCAGTTCAGTTCCCTACACTGGAAATGATGGGTTGAATTAGAGTCCAGGCAGTAATGGTGGGGAGAATAGGTCAGCTTGGAGAACCATTGGGTAGTTAGAAATGATTGCACTTGATTGACTTGCATGAGATGGCAGAGATGAAAGTGGTATGCATAAGCTAGCTATGCTGCGTAACAAAAGATTCCAAAACTTAGTGCTTTAAAACAACAGCCATTTATTACGATCACAGTTGAGTCAGCAATTTGAGCTCAACTTATCTGGGTGATGCTTCTGCTCTACCCTGGACTCCCTCCCTTGTCTGTGGTCAGCTGCAGGCTTGGTCGGCCACTTTGGTGATCTTGGCTGCATCTCCTCAGGTATTTGGGGTCGTAGGTGGAACAGCTCATTTCAGTCTTATGTGGATTCTCCCATCCCCCAAGGAGACCAGGCCAGGAGTGATCCCATGGGGGCTGGACAGGGTGCCAAGAGACAGAAGAGAAACGTGGCTGGGCTGAGAAGCAGCAAAGCTTCACTTCTGCTGCGTTCTGTGGGGCTCGACCCAGTCCGAAGACATGCCATGGGCAAGGGTGGTTGTTTCAAAAATCCATTGTCTATCTACCTACCTACCTACCTATCTGTCATCCATATCTACTTCCCTCTTTCATTTATCTATTTGTATCATTTATATCTATCATCTATCTAATCTGTCTGTATCTCTGTCTAACTATGCATCCAACCACACACAAGGGTACTTAAAAAGGTTGATGAAGAGATTTATATTATCCTTTTTTTTTTGTCCTTTTTGAGACCGGCCGCACCGCGCTCAGCCAGTGAGCGCTGTGAGCACACCGGTCATCCCTATATAGGATCCGAACCCACGGCAGGAGTGCTGCTGCGTTCCCAGCGCCGCACTCTCCCTAGTGCCCCACGGGCTCGGCCCAAATTTGACTAATTTTTAAAGATTCATATTAAATCACACATAGATGTCTTGTGAAGTAGAATGAAAGCTTTGTCCAATTTCACGCACCGGTCATCCCTATATGGGATCCGAACCCGCGGCGGGAGCGCTGTCCTCTCCCGAGTGCGCCACGGGCTTGGCCCTGTATTATCGTTTAATTCTATTTTTCCGTGAACTTTTGAACTATTTTTCCATGAGCTTCTATATATATATACTTTATTTTATATATATATGATACATTTTTTTTTTTGTATAAGAAAACATTCTATATCTAAAAAGGTACAAATCAATTGAATTCAACCCACAAACATTAAAACACAAGGGCCTCCTATGTGCACAGACTTGCCTTGGATGTCTTGGGGAGCGGGGGTAAGATGTGTCTCACACGCTTGGCTCCTTGTGGAAGCAGAATCATTTCCTAAGAGCTCTTCCCCACCATGGATTCGAGGAAATAGACGTTTTTAAAGTTATTTAAGAATAGACGTTTTCCCTGCTGCACATGTTTTTCTCAGGCGATCTTGCTTTTTCTCGACTCCTGCAGGAAACAAGGTAGCCGGAATCGTGTCTCCCATCGTGTCTGTGGTGGTAGCTTTGCTGGTGGGGGCAGCGGCCAGCTATTACAGATCAAACAGGAGGAGAAATTGTTTCAGGACCAATGGCAAGTGTCCCTTTAAGCATCGTTTTGCTAAAGAATAAATAAATAAATAAGTACTTTCTGGTGTCTTTCCCTAGCAATGTTATTTCTGGTTAAGTCCGATATAGATATCTTGGAAAATTAAGTGATTTTAAATTGAGGTGTAACATGGACACAGGAGACTGAGAGAAACCATCAGATGAGTTTTTAATGGAGAATGCTTACCCTTGTATGTATATTTTTAACCGTTTTTCTGATCTGCAAGATTTGGTTGGACTGCCAAGGATCTTAAATTGCTAACAGAGACTGGAAAATTATAAGCGTGACGGTTGCATTTGGCTAGCCTAATATGGCTTTGTTTTGTCTTGTGCTTAGTGGAATTTTAGTCAAAGCTGAGTCAGGAAAAATATCTGGGTTGAACCTGAAATTTTTGTGCACCACCCCCTGCCAAAAAAACCCCAAACCAACTGCAGAGCACTAAATAAACCTTTCTGTTGAATTCAGAGGCTGTACCCAGACCCTGGGGGGGAACAGGGGTCTGCTGTGGATTTCTGTGTCAATCTTGGGTCCAGATTTTCAGGTTTGAAAAACCACTCAGGCTAGCTCTATGGAGCAGGAATGCTCTGAAGACATCTCCAAAACCACATTCAGAGGGGGAGGGATGCTTTGTCCAGGAACAGAGATCCAATTGTCATCTCAGGGTCTCTTGAGGTTTGGTTGCCCACATCAGAATCTGTCTGGGGTTTGCTCTGGGGCCTCTTCCTCCCGACAGCTCCCTTGTGTGCCTGTGGAGAACCAGAAAGAGAACCTTTTCCAATGTTTTTATCTTTAGGATTTGTGTTTACTAAAAAAATCCTAAAACCTGCCCGCGGGCTCCCTCTGCTGGTTTGTGGGTGGTGCTGATCCACCTCCCTTTGGGGTGAGATTTTGTCTGAGAACACCCCACCCTGAAAGTTTTGGGGGGAAAACTGAGTCTACGAAAAACAGCCTTACTTCCCTGGCAACGTGAGGTATCATTCAAGTGACACCATGCACTAATTTCAGTGGCATTTTTGGCAGTGTTTTCTAAACATTTGTTCTTTGATGGCTGAAACTATGTAAACAGAGTGAAACACTGGTGCCCCCCACCACAGAATGTAAGGGTGGTGTAAGGGTGCCAACAAACTCAGGAATCAAGATGAATAATATTTTAGTGCAATATTTTAAGGAGAAAGATCGGCCAACCACAGCCTGCAGGCTCAATGCTGTTCATGTAAATAAAGTTTTATTGAAACAGGGGCCGGTTGAGTTTCTGAAACAAGTGGAGACTCTTAGAATGTGAAACATGCCCTCTTTGTTTATTTGAGGTGGAATCGCTTTTTTGTTAAAGTAGTGAAATGGCTTGAAGCTCTTTCCTGCCTTTTGGCTACCAGATAAATATTCCATCTACTTCCTCAATTACCCATCAGTGATACTGTCATCGAGTGTACCAAGCACTGAAATTTACTTTTCTTCCATTAAAGTTCCTGAACTTAGAACAGGTGAGGCTTCAGACAAGTCAGTTCACCATTAGGGGGATCCCTACAAGATGAACAGAGACCTTTGAGTGGATCCTGGGTCTATGTTGCTTTGCTGGTTGCAAAACCTGCACGCGAGAAATATGTGCATGGCAGCTCTGTGTTTGCGTTTGGTACCTAGATGAGAGTCAGGGCTCCTGTGAGGTCAAGTCTAAGATGCCAGTGTTGCCCAGCTGTCTGCCTGCCCTGAGCTGTGTCAGGAATGTTATATTTTCTCCTGTAGGATGGTGTGTATGGTACACTAGTCACATCCATGGAGAGATATGTGACGTGGTACACAGCCTGAGGAACTGTATGCATCCAGAGGTCCCGCCCTGAAGATTGTCTACCTTGTAGGAAGACAATTATGGGGACCGAACTAGAGATGGCAGCAGGTGTCAATCCCTTAAAGTGGACTTCTGAGCACCATGCTGTGTTTTTATGTTGTAAAATGGAGCTAATAAAAGCACCCAGTTCAGAGGCTATTAAGTCCAATGAGACCATATCCATATTAGTTTTATTGTTTATTGGTTTTTTGTTAGTTTGTTTTTGGTAGCTGGATGGTTCAGGGATCCGAACCCTTGGCCTTGGTGTTATAACACGGTGCTCTAACCAAGTGAGCCAATCTGCCAGCCCCACAAATTTGTTTTAACCAAAAAGAGAGTTACTCAATCCATTTAAGATGGCTCAAACCCTTAACAAATACTAAACCATAAAAAACAGGGCTTTAAAAACTAATATTTTTCCCAAATGTGACTTCTTAAAATGGTATTTAATAGTTTTTTCCCCAACAATGATATTTTGCTTTCCATCTTTCCTTCCAGAACCACAGAACGTCTGAAGATGTCAAGGTCTCCCAATCACTTTGAGGAAAACTCCACCAAGATAAGAACCCCATGTATCGCCCCTGTGGAAAGTGTATTTTATTCATTGCATAGACCGCTTACCTAAAGTGTCTGCTCTTCTGCTGGAACCACATGAACTGCCTCACAAGGAATTCCCGGTTGGGATGTGGTGATAATGATACTTTAAACAGCTAGACCTTGTGTTGTAAAAAAAAAAAAAAAAAAAAGGGCTTGATGGATTAGATAGGTCGTTCATTTGCACAGAGAGACCCCAGCTCTGTTCTGTTTTCTGCAACTACCTCGGTGCTATACACAGATGTTTAACCTTGTTGATGGTGCCCTAAAGCACAATGGTGGCAAAACAGCACAGTCTCTTGATGGTGGGAGGACGGAATGTGATCAGCTTCCGAGAGATGAAGAATACTGTTCAGGCTTCGAAGAAGCTATGGTTTGAAGCTCGACCTCTGCTAAATTCCTCAGTGATGTCGGACGTGATGAAGCCCTCACTGTTGTGAATGCTGTGGGTATGAAACATTCCCAGCACCAACCATGGAGATGATTATCCTTTAAGCTTCAATGATTATTCCCTGCAGAAAATAAGGCTGGATTTCGACATTTTAAAGTGCAAACTTGTTGATGTTACCGTGATCTAGGGGAAATTGATCTTGGGATATTTTTTTTCCCCAAGGAAATGCTTACAGTTTTGATATGTCTTGAAGAGTATGAGACAGAAATAGTGATTTTCAGATGTTGAGCTTTTTCTTAGTATTTTTAGTCTTTGATACTCTATAAGTACCAGCTCCTAAGGTGACAAAATAGATTTCCTTGGCTGATACTTTTTTTTATTCACTGGACTAGAACATCTTAAATCCTCAGATAGCTAAAAAGTATACGAGCTATTTGCTTCTATTTTAGTAGTACTTTTGGGAAGAAGAAAAAGTTGGTTTGAGCATATTTGTATAGTTGGTTAAAACTTAGGTTGATACAGGTTTTGGACTGTGCCCTAAACACAGCACCAATGATTAAGACATTATTGCAATCTGAAACTCATATTGAGGACCCACAAATATCCCAAACATGCATGCTTTGTGTTCACCATTACGAATTGGCTGGTAGGTCTCCAAAGAGAATTGAAAGCAGAAATTACTTAAAAGAGCTCCCCAATTTTAGAAAGAACTTAATACTTATGAACAGGATTAGTCGTCCCAGAATTGCACATCTGACAGCACGGATTTACATATGATGTAAGCAATTTTAAGACAGCCTGGACTTCCTATTTTAAGGTGTGTGTCCTATGAGGGTTCTCAGTTCTTGTAGAGGTGGAGACTGTTACCCGATTACGTTTTCTATATATGAGTTTCAGTGTGAGTTTAATGTAATTCTTGTTAAAAAGTGTCTATGTACACACACACACACACACCCATACATGCACACATGCACACATATCTACATGGAATCTAAATGTTTTTCATGCTAAGTGCATCTGTTCTGTGTAACTGTCATATACCAGTTTTAATCGTTGAAAATAAATGTAAAAGAAAAAAATCAGCTTTGGTTGTTGTGCCATCCTTTCTATATTTCACATATAAAACTAATGAAACACCAGTAAAAGTGGTCCAGAAATCATGAAGCTACATAGCTTTGCATAATATGCAATAAATCCCTTTTTAAGCTCAAGATAGATTGTGCATGTAGGAAATAAATATAGTTACAGAATTATGAGATAAATCACACCTGGGTGACAAGAGCAAAGTATGATTAATGTCCAACCTACTTAAAATAGAAATACTTGAGTAATAATCACTTGGGAACCTCACTTTCCATAGTCACCAGGGCCACTCGTAGGACACTCTTCACATGCTGAAAAGAGGAGAGAAGTCACGGTAAAGTGCGATTCTCAAGCATTTTAGAGAAGGAAATGATAACATTGAATGTACAGTATAAAGGGCAGCACTAGCTTTCTCTTGGTGGGAAGTGGAACGCACCTGGCGGTCAATGGATTGATATCTCCACGTAGGGATGGACAGAAGCCACGGCTCCAATTTCAGGCAGGTGGAGAGGGGGACAGCAAGAAGGTGGGCTGTATTTTCATTTTCACCTTCCTGTGCACACTTAACATCACAGCTATTTCTGCCCAAGTATCAGCCACTATTTGCTGGCTGTTCCAGGTGTGGCAGAGGAGAATGTGTGGTCATCCGATGCCCTTTGACTCCTGAAATTGGAAGATCGAATTACACACACACACACACACACACACACACACACACACACACACCCCTATATCTACCTACATACATACAAACACGCACACCTATACTTACATCCATACATATACACATACACAATACACACATACACATACACAGGCACATACACACATACATGCACATGCACACACACATACATATGCATAGACACATACACATATATACATGCACACATACACATGTATACAATACGCATACATACACACACCTATATCTACATATATGCATATGCACACACTTATATTTGCATCCATGCATACACACACAAACATACACAACACATGCACATACACACATATTTGCATGCATGCGAACATGCACACACATGCACACACATACACACCTGCACACACATACACAACACACATATACACACATAATAAACATATGCGTGCACATACATAATACACTTGCATGCACACACATGCACACATACACATACATGCACTCATATACACATACACACACCTATATTTACATCCATGCATATACACACAGACATACACAACACACACATGCACATTTGCATGCATACATACCTCCACATTCATGTACACACACATAATTGCAAGCACACAAACACATGCACACACATAAGCACACACACACCTGCACACATACACACATGCACGATACACATACACACACATACATAATACACATACATACACATACACACATGCATAATACACACACACACTGTAAGAGTATTAATGCTTTGTCATGGATTGAATTGTGTCCATGCTAAACCCATATATTGAAGTCTTAACCTCCAGTGCCTCAGGGTGTGACTTTATTTGGAAATGGAGTTACTGGAGATGCAATTAGCTAAGTTAGGGTGAGAT